CTAATTTCTTTTGAAAGCTGCTTGTGCTCCTCGGCTGTCTAATTGCTCCTTTTCCAGCTTTTTCTTGTGTGCTGGCGTCTGTGTTGTTCCGCGTGGCCGGGGGAGACGACTGGCTGACTGCAGTATTGTGAGTCCACGGAGACGCTCTGTGGCCCGCAGGTGCTGGCCCCGAGGGAAGCCCCGTGTGCGTCGGAGGAGAGTGTGTGTCCTGCGCTGACGGAGTGGGGGCTCTGACCACGTCTGTTAGGTCTGACAGTTTGTGTTTTTGTCCAAATCCCTGTTATACTGAGCCTCTGTTGATTCTTCCACCATTGTTGAAAGTTAAGTATTGAATTCTCCAACACTTATGATAGGACACTACCCACTTATCTCTTAAGCTCTTTGTATTCTTCCTCATATAGTCTGTGGTTCCATTGTTTGGTTAATATAGATATATATTTAAATTCCTTTATCTTTTTAATGTATTGATGCTTTTTATCAATACATATTGCCTTTATTTGTCTTTTGTAACCATTCTTGACTTAAATTATACACACATATTTAATGATTTATCTATTTGAAAGGCAGAGAGAGAGAAAGAGAAATCTTCCATCCATTCTCAAATAGCTGCAATGGCCAGAGCTGGGTCAGGCCAAAGCCAGGAACCTGGAACTCTATCCAGGGCTCCCATGTGGGTGGCAGGGTCCAAGCCCTTGGGCCATCTTCCACTATTTTCCTAGGCTCATTAGCAGGGAGCTGGATCATAAGTAGAGCAGCCGGGACTTGAACCAGCTCTCCTATGAGATGCTAGTGTCGCAGGCAGCAGCTTAACCTGCTGCACCACAATGCAGACCCCGATTTAAAGTGTATGCTGTTGGGGTCGGCGCTGTGGTGTAACAGATAAAGCCACCGCCTGCAGAGCTGGCATCCTATATGGGTGCTGGTTCGAGTCCCGGCTGCTCCACTTCTGATCCAGCTCTCTGCTGTGGCCTGTGAAGGCAGAAGAGGTTGGCCCAAGTCCTTGGGCCCCTGCATCCATGTGGGAGACCCGGAAGCAGCGCCTGGCTCCTGGTTCAGATCGGCTCTGGCCATTGCAGCCATCAGCAGATGGAAGACCTCTCTCTCTCTCTCTCTCTGCCTCTGCCTCTCTGTAACTCTGCTTTTCAAATAAATACATAAATCTTTAAAAAATGAACAAATGAAATAAAATAAAGTCTATGCTGTCTTATTTCACAAATATAACAGAGGATCCATTTGATCCGTGTTAGCGTGGGCTGTTTCCTCCTGTCCTTTGTGTCTTTGAATCTAAAGGGGCCTCTTGTAGTCATCCTATAACTACATCCTGTGTTTTTAAACCCATTTTGCCAAACTCTGTCTAATACATTTTTTATTTGAAAGGCAGAGGGACACAGACAGAGGGACAGAGGCAGAGGGACACAGATAGGGGGAGATCTTCCACTCTGATTCATCTCACAGATGCCTACAGCAGCTGGAGCTGGGCCAGGCTGGAGCCAGGAGCCTGGAGCTCCATCCACGTCTCCCACATGGGTGGCAGGGACCCAGCTACTTGAGCCACCACTGCTGCCTCCCAGGGTGCCCGTTGGCTGCAGCTGGAATCAGAGCTGGAGCTGGGGCTTGGAGCCAGGTCCTCGGATGTGGGTGCAGGCACCCCAGTGACCTCTTAACTTCTGCACCAAATGCCTCCTCCAATCTCTGCCACAAACTACATGTTATACATCCCATGACAATGACTGTCATTTTAATTGTTATGTATTTTTCTTTCAATCATACAGGAAAAGGAGAATTATAAAATTAATGTGCAAAAATACTGGCTTTATCATTCTCTATGTGTTTAGCTTTTCAAGGGGGAGAGACACAGAGAGAGATTCTCCATCTGTTAGTTCCCTCCCCAGATGCCGCAATGGCCAGGGCTGAGCCAGGAGGAAGCCTGGATCCTGGAATTTTATCCAGGTCTCCCCTGTGGGTAGCAAGGGCCCAAGGACTTGGCCCATCTTCCTCTGCTTTTCCCAGACTTTTAGCAGGGAGATGGATCAGAAGTGGAGCAGCTGGGATTCAAACCATTGCCCATAGAGGATGCCAGCATCCCAGGCAGCAGCTTTGCCTACTACACCACAGCGCCAGCCTGGCCTCCTCTGTTACAAAAGATGCCGAGTGGGGTGTGTTCTCCAGCTGTGGATCACGACACTGAGGTTGTAGAACCAGTTGAGTTGTGTCATAGCTAACATCAAGTCAGAACCTGCTACCGTGGTCCTTTTCTTTGGGACTGTGTGTCAGCCAGCAGGCAGCAGGGGGCGCCAGAAACCCAGAAGAACATTCCCAGAGCAGGTACCTGGTCATCCTCCCTCCCTGAGGTGCCCGCCCTGGCTTTGTCACCATCTGAGGACGAGTCTGCCTGCCTCCCTCCCTGGGACAGGAGCTCTCTAGGGACAGGAACCAGGGGCTGCATTGGTCACTGCTGCGTCCCCAGGTTGTTGGGGGACACTGTCTGGTGCTGGGGCCGGAGGATGGGAAATAAGAGTAAACTCAGCCCAGATCATGGGATCTGTCACCCTCCATTCCCCACCCCCACAGAGGGTGGACCCTGGCCCGAGGCCACTGCGCTCACAGACATCAGTCCCAGACACCAAGCTCCCAGCCCTGCAACCTCCACCAGGGACTTTTTTTTTTTTTTTTTTTGACAGGCAGAGTGGACAGTGAGAGAGAGAGACAGAGAGAAAGGTCTTGCTTTGTCGTTGGTTCACCCTCCAATGGCCGCCGCAGCCGGTGCACCGCGCTGATCCGAAGGCAGGAGCCAGGTGCTTCTCCTGGTCTCCCATGGGGTGCAGGGCCCAAGCACTTGGGCCATCCTCCACTGCACTCCCTGGCCACAGCAGAGAGCTGGCCTGGAAGAGGGGCAACCGGGACAGAATCCGGCGCCCCGACCGGGACTGGAACCTGGGGTGCCGGCGCCGCAAGGCAGAGGATTAGCCTAGTGAGCCGCGGCGCCGGCCTCACCAGGGACTTTGGGGCCAGCCGCCCACCCACCAGTGAGACGTCCCACGCCTCCAGTGGAACTGAGAGACCTGTGCTGCAGGACCGGGGTGGGGGCACGGGGAGCTCTGCCGCCCCTCCACACAAGCAGCAAAACAGCCCCGTCTGTCTCCTGGTCCCCCCAGGTGCTGCTTCCTCCTGGCTGCAGGGAGCCACTCCCAGGTGCAGGCCAGAGGGGAGGCTGGTGGACTCCCAGGGTCTCATCTCAGAAACAATGTCAGCTATGCAGGACGCCCCCTGAGAGGGAGGGGCGGGCTCTCGTCGCTGAGAGCCAAGAGGCCACTCCCTGTCAGGTTGGGAGGGGCAGGGGCTCTGGGCTCCACCTGCACCCCACAAGCTTGCTGGCGGCTCCGGCCACCTGCCACAGGGCCTTAGGGGCCAATACCTGCTTGGCCAGCTAGGATCCCTTCCTGCCTATATGGTCGCACAGCGGCAGCGGCAGGAACAGCCGGAGAAAGCTGGGTGAGACCCACGGGAGGAGGCGCCTCTGCGCAGGTGTTGCGAGCCCCACCCTCGCCCTCTTGCAGCCCAGGAGCGAACGCTGCAGATCCCTGCCAGCCAATGCTGCCTTTGGAACCCCGTTCCGCCCAGCAGCCTTGTCACTGCCTTGCCGAGCTAGGGTGGAAAAGCAGAGAAAGACAAAGGATCGGGCTTGCCTCAGCCCTCGTGCGTGAGTAAGCCGTGCCTGTCCTCCCGAAGCCTCGGCGCCGTTCGGCTTCTGCGGTCTTCTGTCTGTAAGATTTGGTTCCCTGACCGGGAAATGGACCGCGCTGGCCCTGAGAGCCGCCGCTTCGGGGCGTGGGCGGAGCGAGGTGACCCCGGCGGGGCGGACGGCTCGGCGCCTCTGCCCGGACCTCAGGGAGAAGTCCCCCAACGGCGGGGGTCGCGGCTGCCCCGGCCGCCGCCGCCAACCCGGACGCCGGGAGACTCGGGACGGTGGGACCTGGGAATGGGACGAGGTAAGGGTTCCCGGGACGGAAGCACGGTCAAGGGTCCCGCGGGCGCTGGGGACTAGACCCCGGACCGGCCCTGGTTTTGCGGAGTGGCCCCTCCAGGGAACCTCAGGAGAGACAGAGACGCCTCGCTGACCCTTCGCAGGCAGAAGGAAATTTGGGAATGCCGCACTGGTCTTTCTTTATTCTTTTTTTAAATTAATTAATTAATTATTTTTTCGGACAGGCAGAGTTAGTGAGAGAGAGAGAGACAGAGACAGAGAGAAAGGTCTTCCTTCCATTGGTTCACTCCCCAAATGGCCACCACGGCCCGCGCTGCACCGATCCGAAGCCAAGAGCCAGGTGCTTCTCCTGGTCTCCCATGGGGTGCAGGGCCCAAGCACCTGGGCCATCCTCCACTGCACTCCCGGGCCACAGCAGAGAGCTGGACTGGAAGAGGGGCAACCGGGACAGAATCCGGCGCCCCGACCGGGACTAGAACCCGGTGTGCCAGCGCCGCAGGCAGAGGATTAGCCTAGTGAGCCGCGGCACTGGCCTATTTATTTATTTTTATAGTCAGTTACAGAGAGGCAGAGGCAGAGAGAGAGCGAGAGAGAGAGAGAGAGAGAGAGAGAAAACCTTCCACCCTTTGGTTATTCCCCAAATGGTCGCAACAGCCAGAGCTGGGATGATAGGAAGCCAGGAGCTGGGAGCTTCTTCCGGGTGTCCCGCATGAGTGCAGGGGCCCAAGCACTTGGGCCATCTTCCACTGCTTTCCCAGGCCATAGCAGAGAGCTGGAGTGGAAGTGCAGCACATGGGACTGGAATTGGTGCCCATAGGGGATGCCGCCACTGGCAGCCACAGATTTAACTGCTGCACCACAGCGTGGGCCCCTGAGCTGGTTTTTCTCCTCTGATAAGTGGATAACACTCGCTCCACATCCCGGTGTGCCTCTCTGTAGTCCTACCTCCTCAGCAGGGCTCAAGGCCCACGGGCGACACGGCTGTTCTGGGTTGGCAAGGCTGCTGTCCGTGGGGAGCCCCGCTGGGTGCAGTGCAATCCCAGGGAGCCAAGACACAGGTTCAGATGGTCACTGTGCAAACAGGGTCTGTGCTGAGCTGCCAGCCCCAGGGGGCCCAGGGTGCTGTGTCCGCCCCCCCCCCAGCTGCTCTGGGTCACGGTCAGGGAGACTCAGGGCTCCGTACAGGAGTCACAGTCTCCACACCTCAGTTCTGGCCTTAAGTAGCCCCGGCAAGACACCAACGCCCAGTCCTGGGTGAGCCAAGAGTTGCTACAGTAATTAAATACGAGAGACAACCTCCCCTCCCAGTTCAGGGTTGCAGCCAGCCCTGCTCAGGCCCTCCTCCTCCCCCAACCCTCCTCCATGTGCCAGTGCCCACAGCAGCTCCTTTCGGGGAGGAAGTCGCCAAGGACGGGCCCCACCAGGATCCACTTTGTCTCAGATGAGGAGGAGAGGGGAAGGAGACTGGTGGGGAATCCAGATCCTTCCACGGCACCTGGATGTGTGCCCAGGCCCAGCCCTGGGCCAGGCCTGCCCCAGCCAGCCATAGCCTGGGGACAGCTGTCAGGACAGAGAGACTGGGTGTGAAGCCACAGCCAGAGCAGGTTTATGCAGAAGACTGAAGCCTGGGTGAACGCACGCACGGCGGCGGAGTTGCCAGTGAACGCACAGCAGAGAGAGAGCCCCTTCCCTACAGACCAGCGATTTAAACAGTGCAAAGCACTGGGAAGGGGCTTGGGGGTCTGAGCTGAAGCTGGGCTGCTGAGATAGAGGGAGAGCCTGGGCTTGTTCTGAAGGTCCCGCGAGATCACAGTGGGAGCTGGGAGGGGTTCGGGCTGAGGCTGACGCTGGACTGCAGAGCCCAGCTGCTGAGCTCGGGGCAGAGACAGGCTGCTGGCTGGGCTCTTCAGACAGGGGAGTGTCCAGCAGGCCGGGCAGGGTTCGGCTGTGTTGGCAGGGCAGAGAAATGGGGGCCCGCTTGCTGCGTGTAGGAGAAGACGCCCAAGTCCTTGGACCCTGCACCTGCGTGGGAGACCTGGAAGAAG